GGTAATGAGATGCCCTTGGAAGGGAAAACCGCGTGGGTATCGGAAAGCAAATCGTTTAACAGGTGCTGAGGTGGCTCTTTTTCCCTGCTTCGAGACGCTCGGCAGGAAACTGGCGATCGCGCGAGATAATAAAAAAAAACTCGCGTCACTCGCGCGTGAGCGACTTGGGAGTGAAAGTGATGGGCGGCTGTGGTCTGCTGTTGAAGAAAAATGTATATCGTTACAACACAACGCGACTCGCACGTTTCCTCGCAGGAGAAAGTCCTCCGAGGCGTCGTCGTGCATGGCACGGTGATCGATATCATCGCGCGGCTCTTAAGCGGATCGTGCAGCTCGTATTGACCGACAATTTTCGCGCGGAGGAAGGTCACCAGCTAGCAGACATGTCACAATCATTGCCGTAATCGCGACGCGATCGATTGTGCCAATCGAATTGACGTTAACTGACTTTGTTGTCCTTGTAACGTTACCGTACAGTAATATGTTCCGTGCCTCGTTAATTAAAATTTTCTATGTACAAATAAGTGAAGAAAGCAAAAATATTATTGGACACCAAGATCTTTAATTAAGAAGCTTTGATCATATTCAATCAAAGCGAGGCTTGATGTCTAATAACACGTTTCAATTTTTAAAATTTCACGAGGAAGGTCACGTGAGTTTGTGTCGAGGACAAGGCTATAATTTCACCAAGGGATTTGGCGAAGTTAGATCTTGTAAGAATGGAGCATTGATTAAAGGTGTAAATTTTGAGAGGTATAAATAGCGCAATTTTATAATATTTTTAACGCGAGTCTTGTAATTTCCAGTTTAATTTAAAATTTTCAAGGTATCGTTAAGTAGCATTGCACGTGGCATTTAGAAAATTTTTATGAATATTAATACATGAAAAGAACGATTTTGCTGATCTAAAAATTTAATTAAATATAAAAGGAAATAATTTTGTTGGACTATTAAAATAATTATGTAAGAATATTAAAACTTTTTACAGCATTGCTTATTATGCTTAAATTTTTTACATAATATGATGGTCAAAACCATTTCTTGATCTATATAGCTATAGTTAAAATTTTTAATATTTCAGCAAATTCTTTTCTCGTGCGTCACCGAAAAATTGAAATCTAAAATTATTCTTTTACATTTTTATATTTTTATATTTTCTGACTGTTGATTCGTATGATTATTTAGATTACATATAAAAATAGATTTCAATTTTGATAACACACAGAAAAAATTTTCTGAACTATATAAAAATTTCGTTAAATATAAATCCGAAAATAATTTTGTTGAATCACCAAAATAATTAATTAGAAAACTTAAACATGTCGAATAATGCTGCAAAAAATTTTGAAATTTTATAACAATCAGTTTGAGCATTTTACATTGTTAAATTCATAATGTTAAATTATATCCAATTTGAATTATTTTTAATTATTTCTATAGATTACTACTGATTCTACTCAATATGTCATCAATTTAACTAAACAATTAAACAATTTAAGAGAGAAAATGTATTAAATATGACTTAAATTTACATTATTATTTACTAAGTGTATTTAATATAAGTGTGTTATTTTTAAATTAATGGATTGATTTACATTCAGATATTAGATACAATATTTCAGCAATACCATTCTTTCCGTGTATAAACCATACATAAAAAGATGCATATATAAAGTTTATAAACAGAATGGATGTACTTGTACTTGTTATTATACTTTTACTGTTCGTGATATATCCTGGCGAAGGACATAGGCAGATATTTATAGTCAATTTTTATATTATAAGAAACCTTGATTTTCATCATCGAAAAAATTTATTTTGATGATGAAAGTTAAGGTTTTTAGAAGAAATAAGAATTTTTGAAAAATAACTTTCTAAAATCTTTGGAATGAAATCTAATTCTAAAGGTGGCCCTTATATGGTCAATAATGCTGTCAGTATTAACAGTACTGATAATATTACTAATCGTGTGTGCGGTTAATATTGATGGACTGACGGTGATCTGGATTTTGCTTCTCAAGCATCAGTATCGCTTTATTAGGATTCATGTCACGGTATGTCGCAGTTTAATAAATGACGTAAAACTAAAATGAAATATATTGTCAATAATACTGATTGTGTAAGATTGTAAAAATATTAATACACACTGCCAGTATTATTGATTCAATATCACTGATTAGTATTATCGATCGTAGGGTCTTCTTAAAGAATAAAATCTCATTCTTAAAAATTGACAATTTAGTCACTCTTTTTCAACACTCAATTATCACTCTTTGTCACTTTTTAAAATTAAATTCCACTCCAAAGATTTTAAAGAGAACATCAGCTGGTGATTGCAGATGATTTAGCTGATGCACCAGTGAATTTGCATCAGTGTAATATTTAAGAGTTAAGACATTACTTAAGACAGTCTTGGAATAAAAATGGACTATGGGCGGTATTCATAATCTTCTTATTTTAAGACTATTCACTTAAAAAAATGATCTTACAGTTATAACGAAAATTATCTAAATACGAAAAATAGCTAAAATAGATAAATTTCTATCAAGTACTGCGATATTAGATATGTATTGCATCTAATCATATAGATGACAGAGCTAGAATTTAAATTTGTGCTATAAATTCTATGCGTATAATACATAATTTTCAGATACAAAAAAATAGCTATAATTCCAGCTGGAGTAGCAAAATATTTTTTACGTGTTGTAAGTAATATTTTAAGATGCTAATAAAGATGCAACTCTGATTGGTTCGTAACATCTTAAAACCGTATTTACGACAGTCTAAAATATAAGAATCGACTACGAATATCAGCCTACGAATACTGGCCATAGTCCTCGTGCCGATCACCGTCACCCACGAGCTCGTCGTGCGCGCGGCCGATGAGGCCGATCCCTGACCGCGGCAACGTCGATCGATATATCGGGAATGGCAGCCACGGCAGGGCCGCGCGTCACGCTAAATGTATGCGCAGCAACATACACGGGGCCCTGCTTGGCATACACCTTGGCAATTCGATTACCAGGCCTATCGTCCCTCGTAATAGAGACCTCGTTACCGATGTAAACGGCGATGTGCACCGCGAGTCGACGCAGCCGACGCGAACCGTCGAGTTACACGGAACGTCGCGAGCGCCGCCGCGTCGCACGCGCCGATGGAAGTGGTCGAATCAACGACTGGTCAGACGTAGCGTCTACTCACTGTAGGCTGACACGTTTCACTTCGATCATCGGCTACATCGTGGCGACTCTCTTATAGTCAGACCCAGGAAAACTTTTCCCTATAACGTTGTATAACGCCAATATCTAACATATTTTTACCGTCACGTTTAAAGAAAGTAAATCTTTAGAATAAAAAAAAATAGCAATGCAAGTATCACGTCATATTTCTTTTTTTTTTTTTTTTAGAACAATAATACAAATAGAAATATAGGCTCTAACGAGTGGATCTTATAGAGTTTAAAAATAAATTGCCATTTTTTTTTAGAAATAATAATAATAGTAGTAGCTTTATTAAATAGCACTTTCTTTCATTAAAATGTAAACTTATTATTTTTCAACATTTTTTCAAAGGTTAAAGTACTAAGGCCAAAATGTCACGTTGATATAAGTAATGCTAAGCCAAAAAAAATCGCTAATCTGATTATTTAATTCAAACTGTCAGTGGAGCTTTGATTTAATGTCTTTGATTTAATTCTATTCTTGATCACTTCTGTTCTCCAGTCAGAAACCACGAATAGAGTTTGCCTGACATATTCTTGACTGACATCGAATGCCAAACTCGTGGATTTGCACTATTTTAAATGTATCAGTTGTGCTTTTATGGATATATCATTACTCCCACGTTACGTGCCAGCCATTATCTTATTAATATGTATCATTATAATGTACGCCCCCGTATGCTTCTACGACTTGCTTACGTGTGTTATATTTACGGTAGCTAAGCCCGTAGTCCTAAAGAATGTCAAACAGTTTATCGTATGCAACATCATAGCCGACACTACATATTTGATTATCTTAGATTTTGAAGATTATCGGAACTCGTATAAATAACAAGTCATTATTTATGATGTAGAAGATAATCACCACAATAATCGAGCACAATGGAAATGTCACATATTAGATTTTTATAAAAATTACAATTTCTTCGCAGAATTCTGAAAATCATTCGCCGAAAGTTTGTCAAAGTTTGTGCGCAACCACGTAATTCAACGTAATTTGATATATACCACAGATTTCTTCACATCATTCATCTCAAGACGAACAATCGCGCGATGTGATTTAATCCTATTAGTTCAAATTTATTATACGATTTATATTTATTTATGACCAATATGATTGAAAATATTCTAAAAAATAAGACAATTTTCATAAAAAGAAGGTCTTCCATTAACAGATAAAATTAGAAAATTTTAGAGAAAAACATTTCCAATAAAATATTAGTAACAAAATGAGTTACGTTTTGACCAGCAGGATGAAAAAAACAGCTAGTCTCCAAATGGCAAAATATTCACGTGGAAAAATAGAATAGATCTCACAGTATCTGCAACAAATTTCTTTAATTGTTTAGAGAAATGCAATAGTCTTTCAATTACGTTTAACATTCGAAACTTTGACAAACGGAGTGCGACAGCTAAGTTTGCACAAGTCACTTTGATGTGGAACGAATTACGTGGAAACGAACTGTTTAAACAGGAGTCCGATTGTGTGCATTTTGGAATGAGATGAAAATTACAGAAGCGAATAAATTCTGAACTAGAATATTTATGTAATTTCATTGATCAACACCTAGTGAATTTGTTCACTTTTATAACTTTCACCTGGTTTCAAGATACACACAATCGACTCCCAGCTCCGAAAGACGAACGAGAGAGAGAGAGAGAGAGAGAGAGAGAGAGAGATATGTCGGAAAGATATAAGAAAAGAACGAGGTGACTTTCGAACGATCTTGTTGTTGCCTAGGTGGAGGCATACATGACGTACACTCGAGTTGACACTTACGGTTGAGGAGGTCGAACACTCTCCAGCGTAGATAGTCACTGCTGGGAACGTAAAAGAGAAGCGCAACGTAGCGATATGGAGAGAAGAGAGGCACTGCGACGTCGAGAGCGGAGAGAGAGGGAGGGCGCGGGGGCGGGGGCGGGTTCTGGGATACCTCCGCGGGCCTTGCTCGAGATGTAAGGGTAGCACAACCGAGCACCGTGAGACGACACACTTAAGATATACACTTTCACACCGACGATGCAGAAGAAGAACGACCGACGAGAGACGTGTGGCGCTAAAATTCCGCCTCGCGCGATGTCCCTCCACCTGCGTGTATATACGCGTGCCGCCGTGTATACACGCGTGTACGGCCCCTCTCCGTTCCTTCGGTTACGCCACGAATTCCGTCTTACTTATTCCTTTTTCTTGCTTCTTTTTCTTCAGCCTTCGGGCGACGATGGCGACCACGCACGACGGCTGATACGAGACGCTATCTCTTTAGTTTCGAATGATTTTCCCTTCTCCGTATCTCTCGCTTCACTTTCGTTTCTATTCTCTCTCACTGTGATAGGATCTTTTCCTTCCCCTCGTGTTCTTCTTCTTCTTCTGCTTCTTCCTTCTCCTCCTATTTCTCCTTCTCCTCCACCTCCTTCTCCTCTATTCTTCACCGCAGCGGCAAGGACCCGCCCCGTGTCGCGCTACACGAATGTGTAGTGGATGAAAAGAGCGTAAAACTTGCTCTGCGACAACATTATCCGGCCGGTTATCGGTACCTCGGTTGCCTCGTCATTTCGTCCCGCGTTCGTTCTACTACGGTCTAAGCCGCCCGCGCGCCGCAACAAAAATTGATCGCGTTGCGCGCGACGGTCCCTTCCTCGGGGGACAGGCCCGTCGACGCGGTCGACGCGTTCGTGTCCGGCCGCCGCGCGCCGCGCGCCGCGTCGTCCGTGTTGACGCGGGGCTATTCTCCTTAACACCCCAGGTTTCGTTCACGTAAGCGTCCGCTACCACTTCTCTCGGTAGTCTCGGCGCCGTTCTCCCGCGCTTAGGTTGCGCCACCCTTGGCTGCTTTTTAAGCCGCCGTGCCACGCCGCGTCGCGCAACCAGTCTTTCTTTTCTCCACTCCCTTTGTTCCTTCCTCGGGAACTCTCACGGCTCTCTCACTGCCGCACGCTCGTACATATATACACATACACACACACACGCACGCACCCACACACTCCACGCGTGCGCGCGCGCGCACGCGCGTGCATACGCTCACGGACACGCGGCACCACAGGCACACGCACGCGCGCGCGCTACCACACACACACGCGAAATCGGACGTGGACGGACACAGCCGCACGCGCGCGCACACGGGAACGATCGTTCTCTTTATTCCTCTCTCTGTCCCTCTCGCTTCACAACCCTCCCTCAGCGACCGCGTTCCTTCTCCCTCGAAGCTATGTCCTCCTTCACTCTCGCCCACTCTTGCCTCCCCTTCTATTTTTCTCCGTCTCTCTCTTTCGACCCTCCTTCGCCCTCTCCCTCGCACCTCAGTCGCCGTTGGCGCTGTTCTGCACCCCTTCGGCGTAGCCCGACGTTCGACGTCGTCTTCACGTCTCTCACCCTCGGAGCAACGCGACCGGCACGAAGGGTCGCTCGCTGGTTACGCCAAGCCCGAGGCTTTCGCTCTCACGCGAGTTCCTCACTCTCTCGACGAGTCCACCCTCGAACTCTCTCGCTGGTACTTCGTACCCTCCAGATTCCTCTACGCTATGCGTACTTCGTACCGCGAAAGCGACTCTCCTCGCTGCCGACTGTCACGATCAGTCGAGCCAACGCGGACCGTTACTGCATCGCCACGCGCCAGTCTTTCGCGCAGCGGACTCCGCGGAAACTAATCACCCCGCTCCACGCCCGCTACACCTCATTCGCGATCCGCTACGCGAACTAACCCCCGCCACCTTCGTCGACCACCCTGCGCTCTGTAAAGCCGCGTCACGATTCTGAGTCCGCGCCGAGATCAGCGTCGCGACGATCCCTCGAGGACGATTCGGACTGGCTGGCGGGAACCGAGGTGACATTGCGATCATCACTGATCATTACCGCCGTGAACGGAATTGTGGGCGGGAGGAAGGGGGAAGGTAGCGATTTTTTTTCTTCCTTTCTTTCTTTTTCCTTTCCTTTCGAGAATGCGAGCCTTCCCCGTGGCATAGCGACGATACCACCGAGACGGCACGGGGCGAGATCAATGCTCCGTTCAGGGCTCGTAAGTGCTTGCGTGGTGCGCTTCCGTAGCACAGGATGGATCAATGAAAACGTACCCCTCCACCTCGATGTCGTAGACGTGGCCCCGCGCCACCCTTTACCGCTCCGCGACGGAGGGAAACGCGGTACCATACCGCGCCACTTTTACTACCATCGCCTGAAAACATTCACCCGCACCCTCTACGACCATACCCGCGGGCTTCAGTAAGCTCGTCCGCGAAGTTTATCACCGCGTTGCGGATACGTTGCACCGTGCACGTCTTCGTTAACTCGATACTCATTTGTATGTGATTTGTTTCACTCCCAGGGTAAACCACTTCTCTCTCAAGTCTCTTTTCAATTTTGCAAATAAAATGTACGCTTAAATACGGAGCACATTAATATATATGTATAAGAATAAGAGATTAATGGAAAGATGAATTAAAAGTCAAGATATAAATTAAAATAAATGCATAATTTTCATATATTTGCGAAAAATATAAAAATATGTGAATACACAGAAAATACAGTGAGATATATCATCATAGTATGTTTAATACTTTAATACCAAACATAGGGAACAAATATTATAAAGAAAATTATTATAAAATGTAGTACAACTTATTATAAGATATGTATATTTCGTAAATCTCGTGCATACAATCAGCGTTCAATTACAAATTACCTAGAAAAATTCGTTCATTCGTTACAAACTAACATATCATTCTCTCATAGCATATTTAGAAATAAATGTGATTGCTCCTATTCTCTTTTTTATCAAGTGTCAACAAATAACATATCCTCTTAAAATATTAAAACAGAGAACTAGAGGAGTATCCTAACATTTCGCTAAGCGCTAATACGTTATGAGAGAACGAATTATCACTCACACTTATCACACTAATATCAGATCCGAGCTACTAGTCGTGTAAAAATATATGTGTTGTATAAATATAGGAATATCTCTTTGTGAAGAACAATAGTTGTGTAGCGATGTACCTAAACGTACACGCGACATACGAATAAATCACATGGCACACGAACGAGTTCATCGATTTAAATAAGCATTGCCATGTCGTTTCGGCATTCTGCGAATGCAGAGATACAGGCCAGTGATTATCATAATGAGCAAAGGGAGGCCGAGACCAATCGAGATAATCATAATGACTAGAGAAGAGAATCTCTCCTCGGGTGGTGTGCCGTATCCAATCATGAAAGTCCTGTAAAATTTAAAATGCAACATTTTATTAATTCAAGAGATTGTAGAGAATTATAACTCGTCATTAAATTTTTAAAATTAAATACAAGACTCTTAACAACAGTCTTGTAATCGACGACTCACCACGTCAAGTAATTCGTCTTCTTGTAAAAACCATCTCCTTTTGAGCCCAAGGAAACCATTATCTTTTGTAATAGAAGATCCACAGTTTCTCCATAATAACAGTAGAGCATCGAATTTTTAATGCTTGTATAATTGAACACGTGTTTCGGTGGATACTGGACTGTCTCCGTGGAACTGGTTACATCGCGCGACGCGCTAATGTATGACACCGGCCGCCATTGTAAATACGATCCAGCATTCAGCGCGCCGTCCTGTTCTCTGTAGGGTGGCGTTCTAACTTCAACAACCTGAAGAAAAGCATTAGAAGAAAAGTTAAAATAATATTTTCAATCAAAACATAGAAGCGATGACATAGCCAAGAATAGATTGTTACCTCGAATATACCCGGAGTATGCTCATCGTCCAGACTCTTTTTCGGATCAACGAACATCAGTACTTCGGGATCGCCACCGCCAACCACGAGCAATTCAATAGCAAATCTGCTACGAGCAAAAGTCTGGTTAGTCTGGATGTGATCGAGGATGATGTCCACTTGCGTAGAATTCTCCGTGTGTAGCATATGCGGCACCATGTCTGAATGATCAACAGTACAGAATCCTCGGAGCTGACAAACGAACGAGAAAGATTTTAGAGAAAGGTGTGCCACGTATATCACAGAGGACTAAAAAAGCCACAAATATACATAGAGTGTCCCAGACGTGACATCCTTTAATAGCAGATTTCTAAAATCATTTTAAGATGAAAATCTTAATATCAAAATGTCGAAGTTACAATAGTTTTTAAATGAGAAAGATATAACATTAGTCATAATTAAAAGCTACACAAAGTAAAGTGTCTAGAAGAGAATTGATACTCACTATTGTGTCATGTCTGAACGTACAAATTTTAGATTTCACTAATTTTAAATCTTTTTCATATTTAAAAATTACATTTTGGTATTAGGATTTTCGTTTCGTTAATTTGCTATTAATTGAAATCTGGGACACCCTGTATGTTCAATACAGGCTCAAAATGAAGTTGGTTCTCGCTTAACTGAGCCGTTGAAATTATTTTCACATTCATCTCTATGTACTACCGATATTTTCTCTTCAATCCTGCAAAATACTTTACCGAAAGTTTTATACTCCCGTATCTGCTGATATTCTTAGCTGTATCGTGATAAGAGTTACCCTCCATATCCAGAGAGACGAATTCGCTATTTTTCAATAGAGACACGAGCCGCCAGTTGAAATACTCGGAATGCAAAACGTTCGTATTAATGACGTCGGCAGTGTCAATCAGTGCCGTGTCATTTACATCGTTGAATTCGATAATCTGTAACATAATATATTTAGTATTATTCAACGTGCTATATATAAACGCTAAGGAATCATAACAGATGACAAAATCAGGTCACTGATGATAGTTTTCATTCGGCGATTAAACCTACATAAATCACAATTTCTACAGTCACAATTTCTCTCGCATTATTGTACATTAACGCGCAATAAAATTAGCCGAATTAAACTGTAATGTTGTCGATACTGACGTGTCTCCGAAATTTCTGTCAAATGCACCTGATCGATATACGATGCGGAAATCTGTTTGCTCACTGCTGTAAATAATTCCATGGTTTTGTACACGATTATTTAATAATTCTGTCAACTAAATAAGGTGTACAGTGTACATTAACCGTCAATCGTTAATTATATCGCTTTACAAAAGATTAATCCTGCACTCAATATCGCATAATATTTATTGAACGAGAAATTTATAATAATGTTCTGATGATGCAATAAGCCGTAAATTGTTAGATGTTTACATAAAATATTCGTATTATTTTGCTATTACAATATGCTCCAGTAAAAATCGTAATGAAAATACGTATGTAATTTATGTAAGAGAATATGTTTGTATCTACATATTACGTATGTAAGATACGTATGTAGATACGAGCATATTCTCTTTTCAAGTAGAAGACACTCGTCTTGCAGAGAGGCTTTACGAAGTGGAGACATTGTGAAGTGCGAAGGTTTAATTAAGAAACCGCGGATGTATTCTCTCTATAGTCGACAAGGGAATGTGATGAGTAGATTTGTGTCACTCACTCGGATTACGTCCGCGTTTGATGGACGTGAATTCGAGCAAGTAATAAATCATAATCAGAGTAATATTGTATTTTTATATGCTATTTAAATTCCTATTGCGTGCACAGAAAAAAATTTATGTAAATCTTAGTAGAGATTTTTTTCAATGGCACTAATTAAACTTTTACAGTAAATAAATATTTACTAAAAAAATAATAGTTAATTCAAATTAATGATTTTGTATCAAATAAATATATATTTAGTAAATATTTAGTTAGTACTATATATTCAAATATTTATTAAAATTTAGTACATATTTTCAGTATACATCTATGTTGTTGCATTTTTACATTTTCGTTAAATTTTTGTTGAATTTTACAATTTTGTTGAAACGACTAAAGGCATCTATTAGCAAAATTTTATTAACGCATTAAAATTGAGCGCTCGTTTCTGCATACTTTTTGCCACTCGCTTAATAAGCATCTTGGAAGAATTAGCAATATAATTGGTAATTTTAAGATTTATGTCCAGTTCTATCAATGAATTAACTTTAATTTTGGTTTAATTTACTCTTTATCTGTTTCTAGTTTTTAGAACTAAAAAGAGATAAAAAAATTAATCAAATCGAAACTGTAATTAATCTAAACAATAATTAGTGAAGTTCAATTAAAAACTGTTCAACACAAATATATATTAGGATTGTGTTTCAAGGTCGATAAATAATCGGCGTACAGTTTGCTCGAACTGAAAATTGTAAAAATTACATAAAAATATTATTAAACACGAAGACCTGAATAAGTATGACTTTTTGATTTATTTCTATTGAAAATTGATTTATATCTCTTCCGTCTCTTAATACATTTTACAATAATTGATCCTATCGATGAAATGAGATAAATTAGGTCGTCGACTATCAGTTCAATAAACTCACGATCAACTAGCCATTAAAAGAATTCTCGGGAAATTATCTTGTTTATATCTGATAATGAAATAAATTATGCAACATTGTCGATGTAATTGTCAATTTTAATAAAAAATTCAAATTACCCACCAATATCCGCATTGGTTCTTTTAACATTCAATTTTTTTAAATTTATCCATTATCAGATTTCCTCTCAGAGTCATCATATTTATACAATGTTTTCAATTCGTTACCTTGTTTATTATCACCCCAAAGGAATAGGAGGGTTTCTCCGAGAAGACAACCGAGTTCTCCCTTCTGGCGAGATAGTCGTCCCAGGTGATGTTGAGATAGGCGGAGGGTGACGTGATGGCCAGCAGAACGGATGGGGTGCCAATGAAATCCCATAGGTAATGCAACGTATCGTTGGGGCCATCGGCTCTCAAGTAGAGTGTCGTCACGTTTCGCTCGCGACACGGGTCACCGCAATCCTGGTTCACCCACGACCGCAACTAAGGCAGGATAAAGCGGGCGTTTTATGCAATGTTGCAAATTAAACGACGTCGTATTAACGGACGGATGGCCTAGATCAGTGACGGATTGTACGGCAGGCGGCCTTGCCGTTCCTAACTGAGTCCCCCGAGTCGATTATTATCACACGAAACGGCGTTGCATCGTTACGCTAATGCGGCTGCAGGCTCGTATCTGCGAACCGTGAAGTGACGAAAGTTACGCGCGTAAAGTTTCCCTCCTATTATCTTTTTTTTCCCCATTCTGAAAGGAACTCGCGAAAGTACGCGCGATACACTCGGCTATTCTGTCACGACATTTTCTCCACGATTTTGTGGGAAGGAATATCCGAAATTCTGCCATTTGCTGAAGTATCTAAAAACTTAGCTAAATGCAGATTTGAAAATAATTCTATTGGACTTTTAAAATAATAATCGATTCAGAGCGGAGTGGGTAATTGTTTTACTTGATCGAAACATTCAACCATATAATATGAATAAAGAATATTTTTACGCAAGTTAATTAGCGTTTCAATTACTTCGCTAACTCTGATTAGCTTTTGTTTAATGTTTTAAATAATTACGTAGGATAATTGGTTGCTAGAATGTCAAAATTTTTTGTAGTATTATTATCATGTTCTATATTATTATTTGGATGGTCTACAATCAAAATACTTTTAGATTTAAATGTTTAGATGACTTGGCAAAATCATTCTTTCTGTATGTCACACGCCAAAATTATAAATGTATAAAAATATCACTCATATGTTTTAAAATAAATTATCCCCAACACATCGTATCGATAGAACGGAATAGATAAAATAAACACGCGATAGATTTCTTTGCTCCATTTTCAAACGCGTTGTATCTAGGCTGGCAGTTGGCTTTTACGCTTATTTACTAATTCACGCCTAGGATCGATAATCCAGTTCATTATGAATTTAAGACACTAGGTCTATATGAGGTACAATCGTATCGAACAATTCCTTCTGAACGCCTTAAAACATTAAAAGCAATTTACGCTACGACGTTGCTTACAATTAATAAACTCGCTCTTTTTAACGTTATACTGCACACATCGATAAGATATTATCGCGAATATCGGGATATATTACATATTATATAATCATTTGATAAAAAGTAAAATATAGAAAGATAAAAATAAAATAATTAAAAAATAACACACTGAGAAAAAAATTGTTTATTTGACTGAAATTATTTTTCATCTTTAATTCTGTGAATGGAGAATCAGAAAATATATTATATTTGACTTAAATACATATTCCAATGAAAGAAATAAAGACAACTAAATTAATTTAGTCAAATAAACAACAAATTAATAAGTCAATAAGCAATTAATTTAGCCAAATGAACCATTTTTTCCTCAATGTAAAAAGTATAGAGTCCTATTATTAATACAATTTTATTTTATTTACTTAAAATATTACATTACACTTATATCTTTTATGTTACACAAATTTTCTGATTATATTTTTTATCATCAAACTGCCGAAGCTCTAAATTCTAACTGATCGAATTTATTGTGTCAAAGCGTTGTATTACTTGCGCACGCCGACGCAATTGAAATTTGAAACTCAAGTTGAATGAAAAACATGACACCGATCCACGTCCGCGAGCGATTAATCGTCCCGAACGCTCGCGCGTTTATTTATTTGACGCGCCGATCGCGCGATTCACGATCGACCGTGCCCTTCGATCTCGAGCAATCTAGGTCGCGTCAGTGCACTTATCCGATCAGCCGTTAATACGTATAAGTGTGCAGCCAATTTATCAATAAATCCACCTGTTTGACGTGACAAAAGAAATATCACGATAAGTCGAGATTTCGAAGCGCACTCGACAGTCCACGCAGAAAAGGCAATAAGGAGAAGGTGGAGGGGGACACCTCGTGGATGCAAGTCGAGGCAACACGCCTCCCAAACATTAGCGATCCTTTGTCTTTAAGATTGCAGTTCTTTTCTCAGAGAATATTCTGAACTGATATACATTGTCGGAATGAGTTGGAGTGAAACAAATATAGGGAGCTTTCCAGCAGAGGCATAGAAATCGACAAAGAAATTATTTTTGTCTTTGTTTCTTACTGATTATCGAACAAGAACAGAGAATGAATCTTGTGTCAATTTGTGTCTCTTATTTTTTGTTTTACTCCAACTTATTACACCAATTCAGAATTTTCTTCGAAAAAAAAAAAAAAAATAATAAGTCTTATGTCCATTTTTATCAATGCAATTTAATTTTAATCTCGGTACAACCAACTTATTTACTTTTATCTTTTTATAGTTTTATTTAAAAATTAGAAAAAGATAAAAAATAAGTCTCTCTCGAACCGAGATGGAAATTAATCTGTGTTGATAGAAACGTGTTATTGTGGTCCATACAAACGCCAGACCGAAGGTTGAAAGTCGATGAATCACATGCACGCGAGTGGTTCGTTTTGACGAGGCGCAAAGCTGTCTCGTGGATGACACGGCTGATTACGCGGCTAATCAGTCCTCTCCGGGCAAAGAAATCCGGGAATCCGGAGCTACTTGTACTCACTGTTCGTTGCGTGGAAAAAACGGAGTCGGCTAGTGCGGCGACCAGCAGCAGACAGAACGTCAAGGCGCTGGCCATGCCTGCCGTCGCATAAGACAACGACGATGTATAAAACGCTCGCAACTCACGCTTGTCAACGCTGACGCCGTTCGCAAACTGACTTAACTGACACTACCGCGATCGCGTGGGAACACGCGGCTTTACTTCGTGGGAAGCAAGTGGGAAGCCAGCGCCGTCGTGGTTGCGATGGGAATCAGGCGACGTTCAGACGCGAATGGTAATTGTTGTTTGCTCGACTGGTACATAAAATCGTCAAATCGGTACATAAAATTCAGAATTATGCGGCATACTCGTATATTTCGAGTTTACGTTTGCATCTGTAAAGTTAGCGACGACATTCTATTAATATGAAAAGAATAATTACAGTTCCAACAGCGCTATTCACAGTTTTGCAGTTTTACATAAAAATAAAAAAAAGGTCCGTATTTAAAAAAATTTTAATTCAGTTTAATTTCTCGCAAAAGAAATTATCGAGAATTTGTTTACAGATAAAAAAATATCGAGTAATATAATATTTGCATAACAATTTTTTTTATATAAGTAAAGAATAAATGCATTTTTTTCTCTTAAGTTGCACCAATGTTACTTTGATTTTAAGTGAAACTTAAAACTCTCTCTATCTCGTTTTAAAAAGAGACGGGGACAAAGAGAGTTTTAAGCTTCGCTTAAAATTAAAGTAACGTTGGTGCAATCGGGCCTAAGGAAATTATAACCTCACACACACACACACACACACACACACACACACACACACACACACACACACACACACACACACACACACATACATAAAAGTTTAACATCAAAAGAATTCAATTTCTTTAAAATATGAACACATAATAAATAGGATTCTTATGTAATTTCATACCTTTTAAGAAAGCAGATTGGAAAGTAACATAAAAATAGAAATTTGTTTTATTTAAAAAAGCATTCTAAAAATGCATATTTATTTGTGCTTATTGTGCATATTTTGTACATGTCTGCAAAAAATATTTGCATAAAAATCCGATGTCTGATAATAAAAAATATAATATCATAAAGGAGTCATGTCGAATGATAAATGACAATTTAATAATAACTCTTCTTTCGAAATAAAAAGTAAATTCATGATTTATGAATGGAGTTTGGCATTACGAAACCGAGAAAGAAACTCTCTCAGACTCGACCTGCGTGAAATTTAAACAATGAGTATTCGAGTATTAATCCAACTTTATTACACCAATTTATATAATAGATATTATACATTTATATATAGATTTTTTTTTTTTGTAAAACGATATATTATAATCAATCATTACCAAAACTTACCTCTTGCATCTATCGATACCATTATTCCTGTTAACCAACGTCTTCGTCGCCAACGTCTTCAGGTACCCTCATCTTATCCTCGATGAGCGAGACATCGAAAAATTCGCCGCATATTCAAGGATCATACTCACCCAAGGATCACACTCACTTGGCGATTAATTCCCTACGTCCTCCTC